GGCCAGTTTTATGACTTAACAGCCGGTCATAAATCGTTTGCAGAAAAGTACTCCTTTTGGTCTCTAGTATGGGAAGAAAGAATTTCCCTGTGAGACAAAGGAAGTCTTCCCGCCAAGACTCCAACATCCAAAAGTGGTTAATGAAACAACATTCCTACTTAAAAGAATGTGGGAAATGATCAGTGGGGATCTAAAGAATAATCATGTCATATTGTTTATTATTTTGTGATGTCATTAAGGATGGTATCATGTAATAACTGTAACTCGGAAAGTGTACACATTCTATCAAGTTTACATCAAAATGTTGTATAAAATATATGATTAAGTATGAGAGTATTTTGGTGAAGATAGGAATGTGATTTTAGTCTTCTAATGAGATAATAGTGTTTCATATAAACTATGCACAGTGACTAGCCATGCCCCGAGTGACATCAGAGATTGTGTAAACACCCCACTGAGACTGTGCCACCACCCCACTGAAAACACTGCTACTCCTACTGCTCTCTCCTCGTCTGACCATGTGTTCTCGCATACCCCGAGAGCATCTGGTCAGCGGGGTGGTGACACAGGAATCCTCATCTCTCCCAAGTGGACATTCTCTCTTTTTCTCCTGACCCATCTGTCTATCTCCTCATTTTAATTCCATGCTGTCACAGTCACTAGCCCATTTAAGCTTAACATCCTTGTCATTTATCGCCCTCCAGGTTCCCTTGGAGAGTTCATCATTGAGCTTGACACCTTGATAAGTTCCTTTCCTGAGGATGGCTCACCCCTCACAGTTCTGGGGGACTTCAACCTCCCTACGTCTACCTTTGACTCATTTCTCTCTTCCTCCTTCTTTCCACTCCTCTCCTCTTTTGACCTCACCCTCTCACCGTCCCCCCCTACTCACAAGGCAGGCAATACGCTTGACCTCATTTTTACTAGATGCTGTTCTTCTACTAATCTCACTGCAACTCCCCTCCATGTCTCCGACCACTACTTTGTATCCTTTTCTCTCTCGCTCTCCTCCAACACTACTCACTCTGCCCCTACTCAGATGGTAATGCACCGTCGCAACCTTCGCTCTCTCTCTCCCGCTACTCTTTCCTCTTCCATCCTATCACCTCTTCCCTCTGCTCAATCCTTCTCCCTCCAATCTCCTGATTCTGCCTCCTCAACTCTCCTCTCCTCCCTTTCTGCATCCTTTGCCGGCTTGGCCCTCCCCTCCAGCTCCGTGGCTTGATGACTCATTGCGAGCTCACAGAACAGGGCTCCGGGCAGCCGAGCGGAAATGGAGGAAAACTAGACTCCCTGCGGACCTGGCATCTTTTCACTCCCTCCTCTCTACATTTTCTTCATCTGTTTCTGCTGCTAAAGCCACTTTCTACCATTCTAAATTCCAAGCATCTACCTCTAACCGTAGGAAGCTCTTTGCCACCTTCTCCTCCCTGCTGAATCCTCCTCCCCCTCCCCCCCTCCTCCCTCTCTGTGGATGACTTCGTCAACCATTTTGAAAAGAAGGTTGACGACATCCGATCCTCGTTTGTTAAGTCAAATGACACTGCTGGTCCTGCTCACACTGCCCTACCCTATGCTTTGACTTCTTTCTCCCCTCTCTCTCCAGATAAAATCTTGCGACTTGTGACGGCCGGCTGCCCAACAACCTGCCCGCTTGACCCTATCCCCTCCTCTCTTCTCCAGACCATCTCTGGTGACCTTCTCCCTTACCTCACCTCGCTCATCAACTCATCCTTGACCGCTGGCTATGTCCCTTCCGTCTTCAAGAGAACGAGAGTTGCACCCCTTCTCAAAAAACCAACACTCGATCCCTCTGTCAACAACTACAGACCAGTATCCCTTCTTTCTTTTCTCTCAAACTCTTGAGCGTGCCGTCTTTAGCCAACTCTCTTGTTATCTCTCTCAGAATGACCTTCTTGATCCAAACCAGTCAGGTTTCAAGACTGGTCATTCAACTGAGACTGCTCTTCTCTGTGTCACAGAGGCTCTCCGCACTGCTAAAGCTAACTCTCTCTCCTCTGCTCTTGTCCTTCTAGACCTGTCTGCTGCCTTTGATACTGTGAACCATCAGATCCTCCTCTCCACCCTCTCCGAGCTGGGCATCTCCAGCGCGGCTCACTCTTGGATTGCGTCCTACCTGACCGGTCGCTCCTACCAAGTGGCGTGGCGAGAAGCTGTCTCCGCACCACGTGCTCTCACCACTGGTGTCCCCCAGGGCTCAGTTCTAGGCCCTCTCCTATTCTCGCTATACACCAAGTCACTTGGCTCTGTCATATCCTCACATGGCCTCTCCTATCATTGCTACGCAGACGACACACAACTAATCTTCTCCTTTACCCCTTCTGATAACCAGGTGGCAAATCGCATCTCTGCATGTCTGGCAGACATATCAGTGTGGATGACGGATCACCACCTCAAGCTGAACCTTGGCAAGATGGAGCTGCTCTTCCTCCCGGGGAAGGACTGCCCGTTCCATGATCTCGCCATCACGGTTGACAACTCCGTTGTGTCCTCCTCCCAGAGTGCAAAGAGCCTTGGCGTGACCCTGGACAACACCCTGTCGTTCTCCACTAACATCAAGGCGGTGACCCGATCCTGTAGGTTCATGCTCTACAACATTCGGAGAGTACGACCCTGCCTTACACAGGAAGCGGCACAGGTCCCAATCCAGGCACTTGTCATCTCCCGTCTGGATTACTGCAACTCGCTGTTGGCTGGGCTCCCTGCCTGTGCCATTAAACCCCTACAACTCATCCAGAATGCCGCAGCCCGTCTGGTGTTCAAGCTTCCCAAGTTCTCTCACGTCACCCCTGCTCCTCCGCACACTCCACTGGCTTCCAGTTGAAGCTCACATCTGCTACAAGACCATGGTGCTTGCCTACGGAGCTGTGAGGGGAACGGCACCTCCGTACCTTCAGGCTCTGATCAGTCCCTACACCCAAACGAGGGCATTGCGTTCATCCACCTCTGGCCTGCTGGCCCCCCTACCTCTGCGGAAGCATAGTTCCCGCTCAGCCCAGTCAAAACTGTTCGCTGCTCTGGCACCCCAATGGTGGAACAAGCTCCCTCACGACGCCAGGACAGCAGAGTCACTCACCACCTTCCGGAGACACTTGAAACCCCACCTCTTTAAGGAATACCTGGGATAGGATAAAGTAATCCTTCTACCCCCCCCCCCCAAAAAAAAAAAATAATGGTAAAGTGGTTATCCCACTGGCTATAAGGTGAATGCACCAATTTGTAAGTCGCTCTGGATAAGAGTGTCTGCTAAATGACGTAAATGTAAAATGTAAATGATAGAACACCCCTTTTACCCAGAGTAAAATGGCAGCCATCTTCTCCGGCGCCATCTCTTAGGAGAGGCAGATGGGGGACTATCTCTCCCACACCGCCATGGCCCAGGAAAGCGCTGCTACACGGATGCAGCCAATCAGAAAGGAAATCTTGGCCCCTTCGCTAGCATAAGAGTAGGGCTGTTGCTCAAATATTGTACCAAAAGGGCTCTGCAAGCTCCGAGGTTGCCATCGTAATGCTCGGGAGTCAGAACAAACTGCTCCCGGTGCGGGGGAGAAGGACTTGGAACTGGTTGTGAGCTCTGTGCGAAGGGTCGGCCCTGCAGGTCAGACAGGCTCTGTGAAGATTCCTTGATTTGCTCCAGAAGGGTCTTCAGGGCTTGGTTATGTTGCTCGAGCAAGGCGCCTTGGCCGACGAGGGTTTGGTGGAGAGTAGCAAAGTCTGCTGGGTTCATCTCTTTGGCCAGATCGTACTGTTAGGCAGAGTGGAACATGGGAACCCAATGAGCAGACTCAGACGAGGAGACTGGGATGAAGTAACCAAGGTATTTATTGAAACACAGGGGGAAGATGGAGTGCAGTTCAGGGGAAACTGCTGGTAACCAGGTGCGGAGGGTGAGGCTGGAGCGTGGGGGGTTGAGACAGGGTGAGCAGGTCCGTAGGGGAATCCAAGGAAGTGGTAGAGTGGGGAATCCAAGACAGAGTAGCGGGATGATGAGGCGTGGGACTGGAGACAGGGACCAGAGTCGGAGCGGGCAGAACTGTATCGGCGAGGAAAACAGCGTCAGGCAAGGAAAACAGGCACATCAGAATAGGAACGAATGGCTAGAACCGTAGACTGACTGAGCAGAGATTACGATCTGGAAGTGTAGAAGTGGCAGGACTGAGTATTTGTAGAGGTCTTGATTATGGAACAGGTTGCAGCTGGTGGGGATCTGCTCTGACTCCAGCACACCTGTCTCCGCCCACACAATCACACACACACACAGAGAGAGAGAGAGGGAGAGGGAGAGGGAGAGGAGAGAGTACTAGGGGGAGTGGCGGCAGGTCAAGGAGACACAGGATGAGCAGTAGAGGGCGTTGCAGGAGCAGATGTGACAAGATCAGCTCAAATAAGCAAAGAGAAACGATAGTCCATTATGACTTTAAGACATGAAGGTCAGTCAATATGGAACATTTCAAGAACTTTGAACGTTTCTTCAAGTGCAGTCGCAAAAACCATCAAGCGCTATGATGAAACTGTATCACATGAGGACTGCCACAGGAATGGAACACCCAGAGTTACCTCTGCTGCAGAGGATAAGTTCATTAGAATTGCAGCCCAAATAAATGCTTCACAGTGTTCAAGTCACAGACACATCTCAACATCAACTGCTCAGAGGGGACTGTGTGAATCAGGCCCTCATGGTCGAATTGCTGCAAAGAAACCACTACTAATCACAACCCTCATCATCACAACTATCAACAAACCCATCACAACAGATTCAATCTGCAACTGTACTCTCATGCTGCAATGAAATTAGCTATCATCTGCCTAGCTTTCTTGTTGAGCAAGATTAAACAAAAACCGGAGATCTCTCTCGCCTCTATGTAAGTGGTACAATAGATCAATAGGGGGTAGTGAAGAAGAAGAAGAAGAAGGAAGAAGAAGAAGAAGAAGAAGAAGAAGAAGAAGAAGAAGAAGAAGAAGAAGGAAAAACCACCTACCACTGTCTGCTTGTTGACCTGGATGACCTCGTCTCCAGCGTGGATCCTGTGTGTTCTGTCTGCCGGAGACTGGAGGACCGAGGGTGATATATAGAGGATGAGCATATAGACATCACAGGAGTTCATTCACCCTGACTGGGTCATTCCAGACCATCTTGGACTACTACTATCAGAACGGATTGGATGCTCACATGTTCTGTGGTTCCAGTGATGACGTGAAGCCCGTCGTAGGTGGATTTGATATACATCCCCTGAGAAGACACAGGACAACATAAGGAAGAAGCAATCAATCTCAGAGACGGAGAAATCAAACAGTACATCTAGCTTGGGCTGATCATGTAAGAATTGTCTCTAATTTCAAGTATAAATCTGCTTTGTATTTGGCACCCTGTTTCCTATATATTGCACTACTTTTGACCTGATCCCTATGGGCCCTGGTCAGGGGTAGTGCACTATATAGGGTATAGGGTGCCACTTGGGACGCATGCTAACTCTTCTAACCAGTCCTTCTCCAGGTCTGATGTTGGTGATGTGGACCTCCTCCAGACAGGCCATCTGACTCTTGTGAGGGTCGGAAGTCATCCTCATCGTCTGCTCACAGATCACGTTCAGAGCCACAGACAGGAATGGAAAATATAACAGAATACACTCAGCTACAATGTCTCATAACACCAATAGATTTCACTGGACTATATAAATAAATAAATAAAAAGAAACCACTTCTAATGGACACCAATAAGAAGAAGAGACTTGCTTGGGCCAAGAAACACGAGCAATGGACGTTAGACCGGTGGAAATGTGTCCTTTGGTCTGGAGTCCAAATTTTAGATTTTGGTGTCTTGTGAGACATGGTGTGGATGAACGGATGATCTCCGCATGTCTAGTACAACCGTAAAGCATGGAGGAGAAGGTGTTATGGTGTGGGGGTGCTTTGCTAGTGACACTGTCAGTGATTTATTTGGCTACCACAGCATTCTGCAGCGATATGCCATCCCTTCTGGTTGGGACTATCATTTTTTTTTTTGACAGGACAATGACCCAACACACCTCCAGGCTGTGTAAGGGTTATTTTACCAAGAAGGAGAGTGATGGAGTGCTGCATCAGATGACCTGGCCTCCACAATCCCCTGACCTCAACCCAATTGAGATGGTTTGGGATGAGTCGGACGGCAGAGTGAAGGAAAAGCAGCCAACAAGTGCTCAGCATATGTGGGAACTCCTTCCAGACTGTTGGAAAAGCATTCCAGGTGAAGCTGGTTGAGAGAATGCCAAGAGTGTGCAAAGCTGTCATCAAGGAAAAGTGTGGCTATTTGAAGAATCTCAAAAACTAAATAGATTTTGATTTATTTAACACTTCTTTGGTTACTACATGATTCCATATGTGTTATTTCATAGTTTTGATGTCTTGACTATTATTCTACAATGTAGAAAATGGTAAAAATAAAGAAAAACAGTTGTAGGAGTAGGTGTGTCCAAACTTTTGACTGGTACTGTATTTTAACTCTAGTCAACCAATTCAATAATTTCATTAAATATGTCACTTTATTAAACAAGGCAGTTCATACATTCTCATAGATCATTATATAATGTTAGCATCCTATAATATGGGAAGTGGAAGCAAGGGGTGAGGGTGTGCATTTCTTAAGATTGACATCAATGTTCAAGCATCTACAGGAGTAGACACACATACATGAACACATATAGCCTACCCATATAAATACATAAACATCCAGGGCCGGTGCCCCGTACACAGACCAGGCCCAGCCCCGGGCCGAAAAAGCACAACCAAAGAAGGTTTCCAGTTAGAGTGCTTCCTGGCGCAGGACCAGGACCAATCCATGTCCGGAAAACCGGCCCTCAGGCATCCACACATCAAACCTCAGTTATTAGAAGAGATGGGCATCAGAAGTCAGGCCTGTAATTGCATCCCACATCATGTTACCACGTAATTAAAATACAGGACAGGTTTTCCAACATAAGTGTGTCAAGATAAGTTCTTATCCACATTTCCTCTGACACAACATCAATATTCTTCCAATTCAGTGACGTTTAGCACACATACACGAAAGCGACATCAACTTATTACATTTACATTTACATTTTTTGTCATTTAGCAGACGCTCTTATCCAGAGCGACTTACAGTTAGTGAGTGCATACATTTTCATACTGTCCCCCCTGGCCCCCCGTGGGAAACTAACCCACAACCTTGGCGTTGCAAGCGCCATGCTCTACCGACTGAGCTACACAGGGCTTATTTTGTTTTTCATCTCCTTGGAAGTTTCCAAGATGATTCAATAGACATATCACTGGGTCCAAAGGGAATGATATTCCGGTAATGGCTGAAACTGATTTCTATACCATGGATTAGTATCAGATTAATTTAGTCAAATTCCAGATCATATGTATAAATCATCCATTGCCCCCACTACAGTGCCAACATTTGTCAGACACCTTCACTTTCAATGACTTCAATTTCCTAGGTGTGAGATTCAAATTTCTGCAGGTTGTTGAAGGATTCACTGGTTTCTGTTATGGTCTGTCCTCTGATTACCCTATTTGGTCCTCTGGTTACCTTATTTAGAGGCAAGTCTAACCTGACAAAAGGGATAGGCAAATGAATTTGAGACTGGCATTTTCATGAAGGCGATTACATTAAAGGTTTCGTAAGACACCAAACATCTTCCATAGTCCTGCTAGAATTCCATTTGGAGCTAATACAGTGATGATTATACTTTTTCACTTATGGTTTGTAACATTTTCGCAGAAATGTTATTTATTTATTAATTTATTCTGAACAGAATTGGACACAATTGTTTTTCCAGATATATGTTTCAGGAGAAAAGTGGACACCCAAATCATTCTCCCAGCACAGTGCTACACCTTGGCATGCAGAGGATCTGGAGTTATTAAGGAATTTATAAAGTTAACTACTTATGTGTTTTTTGGACTTAAGAATTCCAATACATTTGATTTCCAATCTACTCACCCACATGTTTTGAAAAATTTGACCTTATTTGTAAGTAGAGTAGGAAGTCTTTAGTAGGTAAATTGAATTAATTTCTGAGTTGTTCAAACAATCTCATATTGTTGTCATCAAAGAAATCAGAATCCATGGAAATGGCAGCTCATCAGCCTGATTGCAAAAAAACTCCTAAATGGTTTCCTCGCCCCATCCCCTTTCTGTCATTACTACTGATAAGTTATAGAACTTGATAGGTCTACACCAGACCTAGAGTGCCAGATGGGTGGGATTTGCACTTTTGGGACTATTCCATCAGTTGCACCAGGTAATCTAACCAAGCCTATTTGAAGCATCCATGATGGATCGATTAGGCTTGCTGAGCTCCTTCCATCAGATGTATGATTTGGGTAGTTAAAGACCATTTTGTTTGAGAGTGGGAGGTGTATAATGAGGGGTTGGTGGCTGCTGAGTGTTAAATGAAGGAAGGGGTGGATGACAGTGAGGTCGGGACATCAGTACTGACTCCAGCGATCTGAAGCTAATATGGATGATGACGCACATGATGAGTGGTGACCTGCCAACGTCACCGTAGGTTTCCATCTTTATCACAGCGGCTGCTTGCCAGTGAGGTTGGCCATATGTCACTAAGCACACGGATGGATCAGCACAGCCTGTGCCCTCTGAGGGTACAGCCCACCCACCCAGCACAGAGGCCTGAGGTCTGTTCAGGAGGGTGAAACGTTGTAGAACTTAAAAAACAAAACAGAGCACACCGAATTCTACAAAATAATGTTCCCTACAACATTCTGAACATTTTATCACATTGTTTGTTGTGGTTTGTGTACTGGCCAGTACCATTTCAACTTAAAATAAAAACTGTAATTTGGAACTTACCTCTGACTCACTGGTGTCTGTGTTGGTGTGGCCTGTAATCCTAGAACCTGAAAGGAAAATACATATGTTTAGTAAATGTTACAAACCATAAGTGAAAAAGTATAATCATCACTGTATTAGCTCCAAATGGAATTCTAGCAGGACTATGGAAGATGTTTGGTGTCTTACGAAACCTTTAATGTAATCGCCTTCATGAAAATGCCTGTCTCAAATTCATTTGCCTATCCCTTTTGTCAGGTTAGACTTGCCTCTAAATAGGGTAACCAGAGGACCAAATAGGGTAATCAGAGGACAGACCATAATAGAAACCAGTGAATCCTTCAACAACCTGCAATTCATTGCTAGACACTGTGATGCTTAGGCTACAAGCTGTGATGTACACGGTGACAGTCAGTGTGTATAACAATGCTATGTTACAGCTTTCTGAGCTATGTTAATTCAGTGCGGTATGTTTTTTTTTAGGGCAGTCCTCTTGGAATTGCTTCTCAGAGTTTGAAGATTTTTTTCTTAATGACTTCCCTGAGGAAGGAAGACACCATGCAGATTAGTTCATCCCTGGCCCATATGGCTCTGGGAAAAAGTAGTGCACTATGTAGGGCATAGGGTGCCATTTGGGACGCATTCCAAGTCTTTTATTCCTCAGAACAATTAACCAATGGGATAGTCTATAGAAGTACATTAATAGCTTTTGAAAGAACTTTTGAGGTTCTGGGGCTTTTTTTCTTTGCTGCGGCAGTTGTTGTTGCAGTGGAAATAGAATCTTTTTATAGAATCTTGGGTTAGAACTGATGGATAAACCATATTATGCCATTCATTTCTAAGGCAGAAAGAATGATTGTCCAATAGACATATATATGTATGACTGTGAGACGTTGGAGGGGGTGGTGGGAGGCGTGGGAGGGGGTGGTGGGAGGAAGGTAGCTGGTCCAAGGTGTAGACCAGGTTTACAGTTCATGAGTATTCAGGCTTCGGCACATATTTAGACCTGGCTTAGTTGACTAATTGGGTTCAAGCACAGGTGCAGACTTTGTAGGTATGTAAATTGGAGCTGAAGTACAGGTGCAGACCTGGTTTGTATGATTATTGGGGCTGACATGTAGCAGTAGACCTGTTTTTAGGGGAGTTATCAATATTGGGTTAGACGTGCAGGTTGACACCTGGTCTGTAAGAATATTGAGGCTGAAGCATAGCTGTGGGGAGTAGTGGGTGTTGTTTTAAAAAATATATATATTTTATTTATAAAAAATTTTCAAAGGGAGGTGCTGAAAGAAAATATGCCCGCCCCTACAGACTGATCAACTAAACAGCACTATTAAAGGCCATGTGCACTACATTTGTATAAAATTTCAGCTTTTATTTCTTTCATGACATTCCAAGTGGGTCAGAAATTTACATACAGTCAATTAGTATTTGGTAGCATTGCCTTTAAATTGTTTAACTTGGGTCAAACGTGTCGGGTAGCCTTCCACAAGCTTCCCACAATAAGTTGGGTGAATTTTGGCCAATTCCTCCTGACAGAGCTGGTGTAACGGAGTCAGGTTTGTAGGCCTCCTTGCTCGCTTTTTCAGTTCTGCCCACAAATGTTCTATAGGATTGAGGTCAGGGCGTTGTGATGGCCACTCCAATACCTTGACTTTGTTGTCCTTAAGCAATTTTGCCACAACTTTGGAAGTATGCTTGGGGTCATTGTCCATTTGGAAGACCCATTTGCGACCAAGCTTTAACTTTCTG